CTTCAAAATTTTCTCCTCACTGTGACAAAGGGCCCTTCAGCCACCAATAATATTTCAATTTGGCGCCGCCAAAATCATGGTAATAAATCAAACCATATGATTCTTTAACCCTGTACTGGTCATCTCAACATTGAAGAATGGAAATTTCCAATGCAGAGGATACTTTTGAATACATATTGAACAACATCGAAACGATTGCGGCCCTTCCAAATGATAGTAGCTTCTAACAAATCATTAAATATCAGTGTCTGCTTGCATAAGGCCTTGTTCAGAGGGAAATTATAATAGTCCCTGCTAAGAGACATTATTTGGGCCGAAGTAACATTAAGAAAAGTACCATAATTAGAAGCATAAAATATAAGCATTTAGATATCACGTACCCTACATAACGCTACTGCAGAACTAATATCACAATTCAACCTGTATATGTTGAAATACTAATCAAATCATATAAAACACGATAAGCGAATTTGTTTTGTGTATGTTGGCAAACAGGTTAATCCACATGAAGCATAGAAAACAGGAAGAATCAAACTAATACGAGGAAATGTTCAAACGAAGCAAAATGTTAATTCACCAATAACATGGAGGTGAACAAGTTTAAAGTAAGGAGAAATATATTTCTATATCAATGAAGCACAAACCCACAAAGTTATTTTAAAATTATCATAAATAGCCTAGCTTGAATGCGAGAGATCAACTCATGGCTTTCCCCACAAATTTTTGTAGTCTGAATATGATAACCTATTAACCTTAACATTTTTATGAGATTACGGGACACAGAATACCAGTGTTTATGTTAACTCATAACCAGTTTGAACCTATGAAACCAACTTTTGAATGATTTTTCCTCACAACTTTAGATTTTGTAGTCTTCATAGTGAGGTTAAAATTCTCATAAGATTACTGAACTACAAAAACCATTTTGTTTATGTTAATCGGAGTCTTCTTATCTTTTTGTGGATAAGTAGATGATTAGGTTATAAATAACAATTATTTTGACACGCAAGATTGCCATCAAAGCATATACATTTTCTTACGAAAAAATCCAACACATAACCCAGGTTAATAATACATCGGGCATGCTATAAAATGCCAAATTTGAGAGGTCAAAATCAGAAAAAAATAGAAATCACCTATGAAATATGATACAAAGTATCAAGTTCATCTATTGTATTAAATTTCTGTTTCGTTTTTAAGAGATTTTAAATTTTTATCGTAAAAAAGTAAAACAATAACAAAGATAGGTTGAGCACCAATGACTTGTGGAATGACTTCACTCGCCTCTGAATTAAAGTTAATGTAACCATTGTCCATTGATATGCTGCAAGGATTTTGAGCTACCAATACAATTCAAAGTGATTTAATCAACAATTTAAATCAAAAATTGCCTTCCTTAAATTAAATGTTACAGAAATACACTAAACTTAGTGCGTAGCAAGACTCTTTCAATAAATTTGACATAAAAATACTGGTCTTCGGCCTCGGGTTTAAACAAATTTTTGTATCCAATCTGAATTAACACACTTATAAACAGTTCGAAAAATATTTCAATCAAAACTACCAAAAAGGGAATAAGCTATATTGACAAGCCAATTTTAGCATTTGAAAAAATCATATTTATAGAAATTTTGGGTAAACTATCAAGTCCTACAGGAAATTTTAAATAAAATAAAAGTGATAGCCTCCTATAAGGTTCAACCTTCTTAACTCTTAAAGCGTCATAAATTCGAAATCGCTTTGACTATTAGTTCGGGAGAAAAGAGATTTCTTTTTAAGAAACAAGAACAATTCAGCAAAATGAGCCATATATACACTTGATGTCCAATAAAATTTCATTTTACACAATGCTTAGTTTGTTATTGCCATATAATTCACAAGGTAATTTGGCACTTGTCAGTTATAAAGTAACCATTATCATATATCAAGCTATTATAGAGTCATAAATGTGTCAAAAAAACTCAATCAACTGATATAGTTTATGATAAAGTTATTCTGTAAAGATGTTTCTTACTCTGTGTTTTAATATTTCATTTGTAGTCTATTGACCATTGTATTTATTATTTTTAAATTCAATTTTAAATTGTCAAATTCTCCAATTGTATTCACACATGATCATCAACGTAGGAATTCCAATATTGTCAACCAAATTGAATAAAATTTTAAATTTTTGATCAGTAATTTCATATTTGATTTATATATCCTGAATAAATTCATAGCGTGACAAAACATCATAAAATATCTCAAAATTTTTCTAATTTCTCTCAAATATTATGAGTTTCAAATTTGTTTGTGATTAAAAGTAGAATCGAAAAGATGTGTAAGTCATGATTTGAATACTCTATAGCCAGTCGAGATAGAAAAATATCAACAAAAACAGAGTCAGTGCAAAACTAAATGATTATCTAAGCTCAATCTTTTAAACTCATGAAATATGTATTATATTCACAAAAGAGTGGAAAATATTCAAATACATTGAATATGCATTAGTAGTTTTATACAGTGAAAAATAACTCTAAAGACTAAAATAAATGGTCATTTGATTCAGAAACCATCAGATTAATAGCGTATATTACGATAACCGTATATAGTTTAAGTCTTGTTCAAAAATGAAATTTTGGCAATTCTTGGAGTCTGTGCATACCATCTGTATTAGGGTTATATGCACAGTCTGTTGAGCTGGTTTGCCATCCACATTTAGGTCAATTCCTTTTTGTACAAACAAAGGAGCTATCAATTCATGAAATTAGTTTAAGAGTTCTCTTATACACTTGAACAAATATACTTATCAAAGTTTACATTGATCGAGATCTGGACTCGGTACACGCATAGTTCAATTTTACAATGACATCACTTTAGGCTGGATCTTGTCTAAGGGTTCAAAGTTTGGTATTATACTATGCAAAAAGGTTGCACAAAGATAGATAGCTAAATGGAGACAAGGCACTGAACGAATAAAAAATCTTTTAAAAGTTGGCTAGTTCATACTCTTCTGCTTATGGAATGGACAAATAATGGCGATACAGGATAAACAGGTCTTCCTGAAAACAGTATCTCTATTATTCATACATATCTTTATCAGTGATTTCTTGTACAGGGCCTCGATTGGAGCGAAAGTTCGGCATGGCGGATAAAAAAAAAAATGAAAATTAACGGAATTTGAAAAGTATATGTATTATACTACAAATTCGGATAAATCTATCACTCCTTTGTCTTTTGTATGGTTTTGCATACTATATGATGTGGTCTATTGAAAAAATTCTCGATGCAGCCCTTTGCAAAAAAAGATTTTCAGAATGCAGTCCTTGCAAAAAAACTCTGCCCAATACTGATTTCTGCTCTCCATCCCCCTTAGCCCCCACCCCACAAATTAAAAAAAAAAATAATTCAAATAAAATGTTTTTGAAATAACAAATTGAGATAAATATATTGTTATGTTACCCATCTGTAGAGTTTACTGCATTTTGCAGTGAATTTGAGATTATGTGAAACTATCATTATACTGAATAATAGATTCACCTTACCTGTAATTACAATTATGAAATAACAAAACATTCAAATATTAAAATCCCTGGTCTGGGAGTCTATTATTCCAATCAATGTAACTTGATATTAAATTGATAAACATGATGAAAACGAAAAACAGAGCGATGTAATGTGATAAAGCTATTGCAGCAAATATAAATTATGCACGACAAATTTGTACATGGATTTCACACATCATTAGCTAATCAATATATTTTAAACCATGGACTTAAGTCCAGTTCAATATCACAACATTCATGTCTGACAATGTGGCTGTATATCTAGTACTGATTGATGGAATTATATAGGAAATGTCTCACTATATTTTGGTCTGAATTTGGCGCTATTTTTGTTTGCCTACTTTACATCAAGTTGTGTAAAGGGACAGAAAACCTATGAGCAGGGGGTATATCCACTTGGCTAAAATAGACAGTCCCGAACTCGTAATAAAACTAAAATGACGAAAAATTGGGTTAAAGTTATGGCCTAACCTTAACCTGGTACGGAAGAATCTATATTTTTGTTTATTTACTACATGTAATTTACTTTTATATTGATTTTAAAGTATATCCTTTGCTACTGCAACATTCAAAAGTAAAACAAAAAAATTTCCAAATTATCCTAGACTGGAATAAGTCTAATATTTATACACGATCAAGTATGATAAATGAATAAAATCTGCCACAGACACATGGTTTATGGTTGGTCTAGGTAAAAAATTCCACGCAGGAATATCATTATGATGTAACTTCAAGAAGACGTCCCTTGGGCTAATAAATACTTTCGGCTCCTGTAATTAAATCTCAAATAATGAGCTTAGCAATTGCAAATTGCTTGGAATGTTTACGAGACTGAAGTGCATATTTTTCATTGCTGCAATGATTTGTATCATTATTGCACAAGCAATATTTTATAAACGAGTTGTAAATTTAATGAGAAAAGAGCAAAGTTTCATATAAATTTGCTATATTTTACTACAATGCTATATGCAATAATATATTTCAATATAATTTATAAAAATATAGACTTCGTGTCCAAAAAAAAACGGGGCTCCCGAAGTATGCGAACCAAGATGGCGGACACCGGAATGTAATATGTGTACTAGGTTAGGGTCAGGCCATAATTTTAGGTATAAATACTACGGGAGGCTCTTGGCTAGTCTTCGAACTGATAATAGGACTAAAATAAGGAAAATTGGAAAAAAATTATCGACTAACCCTAACCTGTTACGTTCCGATGTCCGCCATCTTGGTTCGCATACTTCGGGAGCACCAAAAAAAAGGTAGTTCTACAGTAATTCAAATTGAAAAAAAAAGGAAAATATGAGAACATAGTGATATCTTGTTAAAACAAACATTTTAACAATTACATCATGATTTAAATATATCAGTATTTTAGTGGAAAAAATAGACAAAAGATTTTGATTCCATACATACAGAATCAACATGGGTTCTGGCTCTCCTACACAAACTCACCAATACAATGATGACAACGAGAGAAGCAAGCGGGAGAAAAATCATCAAAAAGTAGGAAGGAGAATCGTCATCAGTAGAATCTTTGTCAAGATCTTTGAGTAATTTATCATCATCAATGATGTCATCCGATTCCTGGGAAGAAAAAAATTTACAATAGGAAAAAAATCATTTTGATGTGTAGGAGATCAATGTCAATGGGGCAGTACTAGAGGTAGATTTTATCCAATGATTCCTGGAGGCATAAATATTCATCTCAGAAATCAGTATCTAAGATAGACTGCGGCCTATGCTGCTACCTATACTTGAAACACCATATGTGCTTTTATGGAAGTAACTAATTTTGTTTGCCTACTTTACATCAAGTTGTGTAAATGGACTGAAACCTATGATAAGGGGTGTATATCCACTTGGCTTACACCGACAGTCCCCAAATTCGTAATAGGACTAAAATAAGGAAAATCGGAATAGAATGGTGCCCTAACTCTAAGCTGGTACACACACTACGCGAGTACCCTATGAGTTATTGTTAATAATTACCAAGAAATGAAAACAAGAACACACTCACGAAAAATTTGATTCCCTTAGGAAGAGATTTCATCTCTGGGATACTAACAAAAGTATTGTTCATTTCCAACTCTGCATTCGCTTCACCCATGATTAATTGCACTTGTTCAAAGCAGATATAAAAAATATTAATGGCGTCAAGTATGTCAAGCTAGCTTACATGATATTTAACTTTTAATTTAAGCTGAATAAAATGAGAAATGATAAATTGAATTTATTATTTATCAAAAACTGTAGACTATTCTATAACAGTATAATGAAAATGAAACATGGTTTTTAAATATACAGAATAGGAGGATTGCTTTGATTTGTTATTCTATTTACACAATCATTATGATTGAAAGTTTAGTTTGGTATGATTATAGCCAGGGGGTCGTCAATATTTTCAATTTGTTTTTTGAAATGCAATTTCACGGCATTTGCAGTGAGACATAAATTCCTATGTCTATCCAACACACCATTTTGCTTTATTCTCAAAAAAAAGTAGTGAAAACGCCTGGCTTACTTACTATCAATAATAGGGTGGCTTACCCACTTTGCGGCCATGACCTATCTGCGACCATCAACTTCATCGATTAAATTAATGCCGAAAAAATTAACGAAACGCGCCGATATTTCTCACGCGTTATCGTCCACTTATCCCTCGTAGCTCTACGAAATTACACTAAAATGCGGCCACAAATAAAAAAGTTATGACTGAAAACCTGACCGAAGAAAAAAAACGGACCATTTTACCATGTCGCCAACTACCCATTGTTCCTTCAAAAAAGCTTGAAAATCCATACAAATATAAGAGATAAAGAGATGAAACTTGGCAGGTGGGTAGAGTTGTGTTTCTTTTACCCATCTTTAAAGTTTCGCGTTTCTATCTTCAAAGGAGGGGGAGTAGGGGGCTGCGCATTTCCAATACGTCAATAATATCTTTGTCAACTAATTTGCGACCACCGTGTTTTTGTCTGTTTGATTGCTGTGATGCGGTGCTTTGTTTATAATTTGAAGAATTTTGTTTGAAATAATCGTGTTCTTAAAATATATGACGGTCAGAAATGCAATTAGAAGCCCATTTTTTCACGCATGGCTGCGTATGCCCTAGTCTCGACGCAGCTGAAACAATGTTCAAGGCTTGAAATCCGTGGTCGCACACTGGTCGTTCGGTCGCAAATACGTCTTCAGAGTGTCGTACTTTGGTGGTTTGTATAGCTTTAACCCCTGGTCGTAGAAAGTTAATTCGAAGTTCAGCGTGTAGAATAAATGCCAATGCACCTACGGTGAAAAAATTAACGGGTTAGAAATATTGGTTTTTGTTTTATAGCGGTTTGAATGAAATCGTCCGCAGACTGGCTACACCACCCTACCTATGGTGGTTATTTTCGTAAATCGAAATATTCCAAATAATTCTTAAAATCAATATTTTGACATACTGGATATAAATAATTCCAAATGAATTTATTTATTTTATTCACTCTGGACACTATTTCCTGCAAAAGGCATTGAGTAAGCTTGTACATCGCTAAGACTAAGAACTATGAAATAAGATAGATAAAACAATTTATTTTGAAGTTCAACAGACATGGTTGCATAGTACAAAATGCTATACAAACTGTACAAATGGTGTAATACAGCAATCGGTCATTCAAATTCTGACCCAACCAACACTTTAATCACACAGGCAGACAGGAGAATGACCAAACTAAACTGCCGCCAGTACAGCAGTATGCGGTAAAACTCGTCACTGTATTAATATATGAACATACCTCACATCTTATAACATTTTAACGGCTTGAAATTTCACCCAAACACCAAATTCTTACGATTTTTTTCCTAGAAATAAATACCTCTGACTCAGACTATCTGCAGACCTAACTGCGCCAATGGAGTTGGATTTCGAAGTAAACATGAGAAATGAAAACAGCGCGTTTTGACAAAACAGTGGTGTAACGAGTCAAATATCCGGATCTCAACAAGCTCATCACACTATCCATATTCGAGCTTAGTAACAGGAAATAGAAAAAATTGTGCTATTTCAACATCTATCTAATTATATTACAAAATAAACTATCACTTTTCCTATGTTTAATCAAGTTTTCAAATATATTTCAACATACAAAAATATTAGAATATTCAAAACTCCATCCACAGTTTTGACTGACAATACATGACCACCTCAAGCATGACATAATATTGAAAATTTACAAGATACGTCATGATCGGTTCAAAACACCGACATAAGTGAGAATTTCTCCTTACGTATGTTATGAACCAAGACGTAAAGAATTTATCCTTTAGAAATTTTTCGTCAACAAAGTAGCGGCACACCTATTAGACGCCACCTTTACACTACGTATGCGTCATAGCTTTTTGTAGATGTGCACAACAAATCCTTTTACATACATTTCGAGAAATTGCGCAAAGTAAGAACTAAAGTCTAAATAAAAAACACAAAGAAACATATATAAAGTATATTTCTGTATTAATTCCGTACTTCCGCGATGTTATAACGTTTTTGAACTTCTTCTTGGCAATACCTTCCATTTTATATTCCGTACCGTTTAAACCTTAACCAAGGTTTTGTTTGCTCCCCTGATTTCATATTCAATTTTTATTTATTTGTTTTTATCAATCATTTTATTGCCAGTTATGCTAAACTTATTATCACATATGCAAAAAGGCTATCAGGTAGCTCGTTTTTCCGTCTACTTATTTCCTGTGCACTTTCGCGTGTTTTAACAATTCATAAGTAGACTCAACTACCGAACCAGCCCTTTTCTTAGCTTTAGAACGTTATGTCCTATACATATATATACAGTGATGAGCTGGAAAAATCGTAACAACCGGAACGCACCTAATTCCCAAAAATGTAATATATTCACAACACGACGCGGAAGTTTATAGAACTGCGAAGAAATTACATGAAATATGTTTGTGTAAAATTATAAGAGTATTCATAGCAATTCAATACAAATCTTATTATTAGAAAGATATATAATGAATTTTCATAGGGTCAATGGTCGGGGAAACACCTTTTACACTTTACTGCTGTACTAATTATTTGAGTGATGTGACGTAAAAAGACTTACGAATTATGATGTAACAAAACATAAATGAATAACTAAGTTAACCAGAGAAACTAGACTTTTTGTACAACAATTTTATTTCAATAACAGGAACGCAAAGGCGCGGCGGTGTGGCTCAACGGGCTGAGCGTTTGGAATACGCTCGCCACCGCACCTCTAATTACTCTGCGTGGGCTCGCAGGTTCGAATCCCATGCAGGGATGGTTATGTGCGAGAGGATTGCTGGACTCCTCGCCGTCGTTGGGTGCAGTGATTTCCCTACACCCCCCCTATAGGGGGTGAACACCCCCCCTAAAATTTCAAACACCCCCCCTAATTTTGAGGTGCGATTCCACACTGAGGGGTTCTAAACCGCAGTCTGCGGGCCAATTACGGCCCGCGTGACCATTTAAAATGGCCCGCTGAACTTGAGTGAAATAGTTTAACCCTTCATGTGGTACCTTTTGAGTTTTAGATACCGTCTATTGTTACATCATTATCACAGTTTAAGCACGTTTATTTCGTAACAATTGAATTATTCCGGTATCTTATGTATAGGTATGGGTATAATGATTACACACTGCAGTATTTTAGATATCAGCCGTATATTAAGAAAGCTTAAAGATGTCACAAAACGAAAACTAGGCACTGAAAACAGACGTTTTTTAGATGAATGACAGCGTTTTTATTTCTTTATCAAAAAGAATCAAACTTCAGCGATTTGTCTTCTTACCAACAAAATATTTCAGTTCTGAAGGAATACAACATTATGATCAGTTGACGAGCGTATTTCAAAATTTAATTCATACAAAAGTCAAACAAACATGTTCAAAAAAATTAGAAATGTGTAACAAAACTAGCCATAAGTAGCCATTCATAAAATGACAGATAAGCAAGTAACTTCATTAGTCACTATCATTTGCAAATTACTTGTTGAAACGTAGTAGTATATATTTACGGTTGAAAGCCGTGCTTGTTATCTATTCCCCGGGAATTCTATCAGCTAAATATTATAATTATTGATTTTATTACATAACAAACTGCGATCCTAGGTGTATCTAAAATCAAGCTTAGAGCCTATTTTGGTGCCTATTTCTCAAATTTTTCTCAGGGCGCTTAAGCGCGCCCTGAACCCCAGCCGTGTCGTCCCGCAATTTTCTTCGCTCCCCTTTTCTGGCCCTACAATTTCATTCTGCTGTGGATTTTGACTCGCCGTCAATCAACTTGGGGGGGCTCCCATGTACTTCGTCTCTTAAATACATACCATTTTTTAAGAATACAAATAGCCTAGTTTTATCTCTGATAGCAAATTATTTACCACCCCCTAAATTTTGAACACCCCCCCCTAAAGAGAAAAGCTGGGGAACATACTGGTTGGGTGGTTCACGTAACCGCTGGTCGGTTACGGCTTCCTCCACCACCAAGTCCATGCTTCCGAAAACAAATAATACAGTAAAACTAATCCCATACCCGACTTGGAATGGTAACCGGATGAGAGGCCGTGGTTCGCCATATGGATAAGCCGTCTTATCGGCTTTCCTCTCCCCCGGGATAAATATGTAAATCCTATCCTATCCAAATGCAGTAAAATGTCCAACAACCGGAACGCCGTTGGGTGCGTTCCGGCTACAGCTCACCACTGTATATATATATATATGTTAAGAAAACAAAATTTCTACTAATAAAGCCTTACAATTAACTAGCCTTACTTTTAACTTCAAGTCCATGCTTCCGAAAACAAATAATTTGCTAATCCCATACCCGACATGAACCGAAAAAGGGTGAGAGGCTGTGGATCTCTATATGATTAGGCCGCCTTATCGGCTTTACTATTCCAGAGATAAATATGTAAATCCTATCCTGACTTCAATGAAGTCTTCGATGATAACAACTACTGCTTAGAAGTGTGAAAATCCTCCCCTAGTTCAAAATTTCGACCAATAAGAACGTCAAACAATGTCGTTCTTTAGTTCAGACCAAATCGTGTAAACAATCAATGTGAATGTGTAATTAATTTATTACATATTTATACCAAACACATTTAACATGGAAAAATATTAAAAACAACATTTCATTCGATAATAAAAAATTTATTACACAATCCTGCCAATCAGGCCAATTATCAGAAACTTGTCACTAGAATAATCAGATAACAGAATACTATAGGAATAAAAAAATCAGTATTTTTTATAAATATTTTTGTGAAATCTGTTCTATTAAGCAATGCTCCATACCAGATTAGGAGATAGTGGCATTGGTAACTGCGTTTAGTTAGAAGACAGTTTAGAGTTTAGCATTCCTACTAATATTCATATGTATCAAGAATCGTCGAATTCCGGTGACCAATGGATATCACAATAAGGGAAAAAACCATTACCAGCCAATATCAGTTTATTAGAATATCACAACTATAGCAATACCATAGATACCTGTAAAATTAAATCGCTTTAGAATTGTTATGTGGAACAATTTTGGGGCTAGCAAAGTAAACGCAGTAACTGTTTCAATAACTCCAAACAAAAATGCAATGTGAAAAGAACGCCGTAACTGCTTAAATAATACCAAACAAAAATATGATGCTGTGATGTGAAATTTTTATGTTTCTTAAAAAAAGTCTGTCTGGGAATAAATTTTTTAGTGCTTCCCTCGCTAGACCCCAGTTTTTGGAATAAAACATACTTACACCTTAATATCTATAATTTGTAGCTTATTGTTAGCTAGTTATTTTCAAGGTGGGGCCATAAATCTGTGTGTATGCTTAGAAATCGAGATTTCAAATTCATTTCAAGGTAAAAAAAAAATATTGGGAGACAAGATATTCGACTGAATAAGTGTTTCGACGTTTATGTCTTTGCTAAATCCTAATAGTTTTGAAATGCTGATCAATTTTTGTTTGCTTCAGATCTAAAACATAGTGAAAACACCACTAAGCTACTTTGAAAAAAAGGAGAAAAAAGGGACATCATAATTCGAGGTGAATCCCCCTCCCCAGTATACCATCTATTATAATAACCCTCAGAGCTTAATAAAGTTCCAATTATATAGAGCAGAAATGCATGTTGCAATAAACATTAAACTGACTTTCATATTTGTAGTGAACTTTATTGGAATCAGGGCCGGGCATTTTGAATCGTATTATAAATGTCCCAAGTATTCGAGTTTCGATTCGGAAAAAATATTCGATTTGATTCTGAAATCATCAGGTATTCGAAAATGCCCAGCCCTAATCAGGATGAACTAAAAAGACATTTCTGGTATTATGAAAGGATCAGACAGATTCTTGAATTATATAAGTTTGTATCACAAATGTTAGGGTAAGACATAAAAAAAGAAGAAAATAATTTGAACAATGTAATCATATGAATATAGACCAGAGTTTCTCAAGCTGCGCCTTCAGGGCCCTTGGGGGCCACAGTGGCTACGAGCAGCGGCCTTCAATAGGTACTGGACCACTTGATATGGCTGGATTAATTTAATGTAATTTATTTAATTTTTCAACCGTTATTATTTTACTTCCGTTTGTTAATTGTTAAAATATGTGAATCAAAGAACTAATGGAAACTTGTTAAAACTAGTTTTTTAAAATAGAAGAGCGTGGGATTCTGCGGAAGGGATCCATGAATAGAGAAAGTTTCAGAATCACAGATACAGAATTGTGAGCATTATTCATTCAGTTGAAATTGTTCACATAAGCTAAAAAAGAATGAATTCCCGTCCTGAGACTTCGTGCTTTATGTTAATTTCAACATTCCATGCTTTTAATATGAAGTTCTTTCAAACAGTTTCATAAATTTTAGATTTCATAGGATCACTGAATTCAGACCCAAATTCCATCTTGGTTTTCCAATCCACTATAACAGGACGTAGAAGACCTAATAACGAGCATTCAAAGAAGTCAGCTGTATTGTTGAGAAATCCTCGACTGTAATAAAACAAAAATGTAAAATTTGTGTAAATAGGAGATCAATGCTCGTATCAAAGTGTATTACACAAAGATCACCATTGGTGCCAGTACAGTGGGGCCTTAGACCCCCCGGCTTGTGTCCCCCTACAATTAAAATAGTACGGCAAAATTTGGGGAATATAAGATCCCATAGGACGAAAATTTGAAATACACATTTAAATTTCGAACTGTACAATGTTTTTCTTGTTCGTCTCTATCTGGCACACTACATCAAAAATTAAAAAAATAATAAAAAAATGAAATTAAGGCTATTACTATACTTCCTCGATAAAACTCAAATACTCACTTATAAGGACTTTTCTCCAAATGTCCATGATCTGACGTTCTGAAATGAGCATATCTTGATGCATTCATCCTTTCGTTTGTTGTAACTCCCAGCCATACAATCTGTTAAAAAAGCCCAAATAAAATATCTGCAAACCGAAATTAGCTCCATAAAATTTTCAAAATTTTTTTTAAGACATAAGGAAAAAATGTACATCTATAAAACATCATACACATGATAGTCCAGAGTGGTTCAAACCCAGGCCCGTGAGCCACATGTGGCCCGCCGCTTCATTATCTGTGGCCCGCGTCACATTCGGAAAGTAATCAATAAATCGCTTTTCAAATCGCAATTAATTAAAAAAACATATTGTTACATATTATTGATACATATATTTGACACTAATGTCACTGAATTGACTAGTGTTATGGCTATATAGCTGAGGCAACTAGCCAAGTTGAACGATGTGCTTGGCAGTCTAAATTATTATCTGGCTTTCTATCTTTTTGGTCTGGAATATATGCTAACAATATTGGCATCACAGAAAACTAAAAATCGAATGCAGATTTTATTAGCCTGGGATGGCTATGTCTGATAACTATGTGTTTGCACAATAAAAGTGTTTGTTTTGTATTGCACTGTTTACCTATTCTTGGCACTATTGTGGCCTGCGAATAATGAAAAAATAAATTTGTGGCCCGCTGAGCCGACAACCTTGGACCACCCTGTGATAGTCTATAATGGCATTGGACGATGAAATCCGGTGTATGTACCAATATGGAGGTAACTAATTTTGTTCACCTACTTTACATCAAGTTGTGTAGAGAGACTGAAACCTATGGGCAGTGGGTATATTAACTTGGCTAACACAGACAGTCCCCGAACTCGTAATAGAACTAAAATAACAAAAATGTGAATAGAATTATGCCATAACCTGGTACACACATTACGGGAGTATTGAAAATTCTTTGTTTAATGCCTGAAATGTTTAACTAGTGTTTCCTTACTCCATCAAAAAATCAAATGGTTTCGCCATACTTCCTACATTCAAGTGGGTGCTTTTAAAAAACCAAAGCACCTTGTTCAGAGTGAAACAACTCTTAGCGCAATGATATGAATACCACAATGAAGCATTTAATATAAACAAGAATCATTATTTAGAATAATACCTTCAATAAATATTAATAATTATTATCCTAATTAAAACTGGGTATTTATTAGTTAGTTAAACGGTTTATTCCCGAACTTTTTACATTGAATAACCTCATAACCGTTCTCTTCCTTGCCTTTCCCGTGGCGCTCTGGTTGTCGCTAATGTGTGATGTCGGAAGTTGGTCATATGGCCCACCGACAAAAAATGTTGCACACCACTCTTATAATAGATTGATACTTCAGGATACACACAAAACTATCACTACTCGCAGTTTCAGAATCAGGGGTTCATTCAACTAGATATTCCTCCTATCTTCAATTAAAAGCGTCATATTACCTGATATAACTGACATGATAACAGGAGGAAAACCCATACAGTATGAAATACACAGTTTGCAAAAATCCAGAAAACCCATGGTGAACATTTTGGTATTAAAGTAAGTTGTTCGAGCATTGTAGATCCCTTTGGTATTGCACACATCACATGCCAGTCTAAAACATTGAAGATAAATAATACAATGGTATTTATTCGAACAGTAAGGGGTCCTTGGAAGGAACACATAACGATCCCAATCAGGGGCGTTCCCAGGACTTCAATGGGGTCAGTATTCAGTAATGAATGATTGGTATTATGGCGCAATATTTAGTATTTTACACAAAAAGGGGGTTGTGAGAGGCTTTTTATTGTCACATGTCTCTTCAGATTTCCAGAAAATTTTTGTAATATACTGGTATATTATTAGATCATAAATAGATTTTTGAATATTTGAAAATAACTTGAAGTTAAGAAGATCAAGGCGGTCATAAAACGCCATGGTACCAGTGTCTCTTTTGTATACGTTTGTTGCATAAGAAATCCAAATATCTGTGTATATTTGCATGCATTATATAAGGCAAAGTTACTATTTATTTTCTTACTTTTTCCGATAATTTCCCTTCAAGGGTACCTACCCAATATTATTACTACAAACAAACTTACATTGAAAAGATGCCCAAACATTCCAAGTCAACATTCCGAGTAAAAATAATAAATATCCAATGAAATAACGATGATTTCCTGCACCCACTGTGTTATAAACCCAAGGACAAAAATGATCGAATTTCGCTATGCATTTGTTTGTGACAGCACAATGCTTTGATCGAAGTGGCTTCATTACCTGAGAAAGAAAAAAGAAATTTCTACTAATCGGTATGCATAACTAACTAGACAGAATATTTGAATAAATCAATATTTGTAAACTCACCATGCAAGTACTGCAGAACTTCTCGATCATCAAGCTATCAGTCTCAGCTGCACGAATTATCGTCTGAAAATAAAATACGAAATAAAGATGAATATGATTTTGCCAACGTAAGGTTGTTCATGTTCTGTTACTCAGTCACAACTTCCTCCACCATCAAGTTCATGCATTTGAAATGGTAAACAGCACAACTATTCCCTTACCCAACATGGAATAGAAGCTCTTTATTAGACTGGACTAACTTTTTAGAATTTGTAATTGTAAGTCTCGGGGCCCCATCTTAAAAATAACTAGCTAACAATGTGTTTTTTAAAAAAACATGTTAAAAATATGTGGATGGAACGTAAATATTTAAAATAAAGAAATGTGAATATTCAAAATGGGGGGAAAAATAAGCATCACGCCCTCCTCCTTTCCCAAAAAATTGTCTATGTCCCTCTAGTGGGACGCGACTCACCGCTTGAGTGAGAACCACTGGACTAGACAATTTTAAATATACAGACATATATTAAGAATTTTACTAGTTTTTTTTACAACATTATATATACATATTTTTTTTTGTTTTTCAGGGGAAATAAGTTGATATATTCGACAATAACAATAAGCATCCCAAAATTATGAGCCCATATCAGCAATTTTAAGGGTTTTTACAGTATTTTCAACACCAGTAAATATTAATATTTCAGGGGAAAAACAACAATCAGTCAATCTCATTCTTCATCAGTCTACGTTTCGATAAACATTGTCAGGTGACTGTCAGAAAATAACAGAAGCTTTTTCATTAAATTTAAATGAATGTTTATTTCGTTGATTAGAAAGTACTATCTGTTCTTAGGTTATTTGAATAATGCTCTTTTTAAGTCAATTACCGTCATTCATGAAATATGTGAGAAAATATACATACAGGGAGGGAATACACTCCAAAAAAGAACAGAAAACCCTATTTTGATCAATTCAGTAATTTTATCAACTTTCTGCTTTAGAAAAATATTCCGGTTCTGAACATTCTAATTAAATTCATTTTTGTATGACAACACTACGTACAAACAGCCAGTGCTATGTAAATAACAACTATTGTTTAGTAAACTAGAATTTATTCTATTCGGAATGGACTACCCAGTTTATTACACCCTAAAAAATTCATTTTCAAATCTGTTTGAGTAATCGTGTTGTTTGTATTTTTAAAAACGTTGCCTTCGAATTACAACAATTTAAAATTTATTTACTATCAAAAACTATCAATCTATTTTGAGCAGTCATTTTTGATTATAAATTCCAAAGCATATTTACATGAGCATATGTCTAGCGAGTGTTGAAGTGCCGTGAACAACATGCATATTTTATGAATGAAGATAGTGCGCGGTTATGGCTTTCGGTTAGACTTCAGGATATATCGCCGGATGAGAACAGAAGGGGCCTAAGTCACATTTTTGCAAAATTCACTTTTTTCAATATTTTGGGGTTTTGAGCCATGCTCTACAAGATGGTGGTCTTGAAATCCTGAATTTCTCAATAATAAAAATTTTAGCTGGACTTAGGAATGCTATAATCATAGAGGTGTTGAGAACAGAACAGGCCTATGTCCAATATGCTGGACTTAGGCCCTTTCAGTCCCACATATTTACTGTCAAAATGAACATAGGCCCATTCTATGGCAAAGTTTAGAATCAAGTAGTCCCAAAGAACATGAAAAAATAAATATGATTGTCCTGATTGGCTGAAACAAATTATTCATTGTGATGAAGACAACTGATAAAGCATATTGCAGTTATACTTATGAGCATGTGCTACAGGAAACAGGTTACTAGAGGTAGCTTACCCTGGAAAGTTAGATATTAAATGGGATAAGAGCCTTGGTATATTGAATAGCAGGCTTTAAGTATAACTGCATAATAATTTAAAGATTATAAATATTAAATTGTGTGCTATTTAGTAGTCTTGTATGTATTAAATTGTGTTCTACTTAGTAATCTTGTATGTTTAACTTTTCCCAAAGCTATATACAATTTATCAGTGAAGCAATGTTAGGTCCTGAATCTGAATTCCCCTGTGGCACACGAAGTTGGGATAGCACTGAGAGTCAGATTCTGCAAACAGGAAAATAAGTTTATCTCCCTGCTACATATTTCGATAATGAACAGCGTGAATACAGTAATAGTTTACCATATAAAGATAAGACGCTGTTAAAAGGAGTGATAGTTTGCGTCTACTCCAACACTGTTCGAGTCAAATTTTTTATTGACAATCAAACAACTTCAGTTCCAAAAAATGCTTTAAAACTTGATATCGGTGATGAGGAAAAAGATTTTGTCCTTGTTGAAGCTCAAAATTCTCAAAACGAAGACCAGGAAGAAAATTTATCAGATGAATCTTTTGAATATTATAATGATGATTCAGATAAAGATCCAACTTATAATTATGAGAAGGAAAAGTCTCAGTCTATGCCATGTTATTGGACGGCTCAAAACAATGAATCTGACAGTGATAAATCAAATTCCACAGTACAGCACCAGGTTGACATTTCAGTCGTCGAAAGTGAAGAAGTAATTCTATGCTATGAAAGATATCCCATATTCAAAGCAAAGTGTAGAAGTGTTCACTGTGAGGATAGACAAGGAAGTTTTTTTATAACTAAAGTGTTCCAAACTGCGATCCATTGGCCATATTTTAACCTTGTAGAACACAAGGAAGGTACTGCCATCACATGGAATCTGTGTGACATAAATAAGCTTTGTGACCAAACAGAAAATCAGGTTAATGAACAGTGTTCAACAGACTGGATAACACCTACTCCTTTGACAGAAAGAAAAAGAAATATCTCCAAGTGGCAGAGAAATATTAGGAAGGAAGCTCGAATGCATGGACAGTCTTACCAATACAGAACAAAAAATAAAGAAATTAGATTGATGCCTAAAAGAGAAATAAAGAAAACATGTTCTAGTTCATGTAAAAAAAAGTGCAATGAAATATTTTCTGCCAAGGACAGAGAAGTTTTATTTGAAAATTATTGGAAATTAGATAACATATTGTCAAAAAGAATTTATATTACGAAAATGATTGAAAAATGCAAAATTAAAAGAAGCAGATTGAGACCAGATATTGAAGTCAGACGCAAAAAAAGAGATGTTAGTTTCAAATATTTTCTTCAGAAGGAAAGTGGAGATCAGTTTGAGGTTTGTCAGACATTTTTCCTCACAACTCTTGATGTTTCAAGAAAACAAGTTAGAACAGCATTATCAAAAGAATTTATTGGAAGTGTTGAAAATGATATGCGTGGTATAACTGTACCCCATAACAGATTTGATCCAAAAAAAGTGGAAAAGGTAATTGAACATATTTGTATGTTTAAGACAGTTCAAAGTCACTATGTTCGAAAGGAGTCTAAATATCAATATTTGCCTCCAACATTAGATGTGGCTACTATGCACCGTATGTACATACGATTCTGTGCAGAAAATAACATTGAGAATCCCTTGAAATACGAAGCTTACTTGTCCATTTTTCATGATAATTTTAATATAAAATTTCATCAACCCAAAAAGGATCGATGTGACATATGTGATGCATGGGACAATACAAAAGATTCATTGAGAACTACCGAAATAGTAAAATCAAAGGCAGAACATGATCAAGAAAAGAACTTGAGCAGGGTGTTCAAAGCACAAATAAAAGAAAAAGCACAAGACAATAGCCATATTCAAGCATCAGCATTTGACTTTCAAAAAACACTCCTGGCACCTGCAGGAGAGAGTTCCTCATTTTACTATAGCATGAGACTGCGAAACTACAACTTCACAGTTTCGGACATCTCGTCTTTTAAAGAAGTTCATTGTTACTTGTGGAATGAGGAAGAAGCAAAAAAGGGTTCAAATGAGGTGGCGTCTGCACTGTTGCTCTACTTGAAGTTTTTACAAAAAAAGGGTGTGAAGAGTGTGTACCTTTTTTGTGACAGATGCGCAGGACAAAATTGCAACCGCATGGTATACATCATGCTATCCCTTGCCCTTAATTGGTTTGGATTTTCAGATATAACGTTAAGCTTTTTTGTTACAGGGCATAGCCAAAACGAGAATGACTGTGCACATTCTCTTATCGAAAAAGAGTCAAAACGGCTGCATACCTTTACCACCGATCAGTGGGAATCTGTCATCGTACAAGCATTGACTAAAGGGAATAAAAATAGAAATATAACTATGACTAGAATGTCCCATAGTGATATCCTGGATTTCAAATTTGGAGAAAAACTCACCATGTTTCAAGACGTTTACAAATCAAACCTAAAAGTGAATGGATCAAAGATCAAATGGTCTAAGATCATGCAGGCCAAGTTTTCTGGTGAAAAACCTGATAAGTTTTTCTTCAAGTACCTTTATGCAGAAGAAGAATATCAGGAAGTTTCATTCATAAAAAAAGTGAGGTTGAGTCGAAGAATTTCAGGAACCCTGGATATGTTACCCAGGATGAATGAAATGAGGCGAAGCTACAAAAAAAAAACCGGGAATTACAATGGAAAAATATGGTGCCTTAATGAAGCTGTGTAAAAAAAATCTCATTCCACCGCAATACCATACGTTCTACGAGAGTCTCACCATTCAAAATGATGAAACAGATGAATCAGACAGTGATGATGAATCTTCCTCTATTTAGATCGATTCACCAGTTTTAAAGACACAGGGTTTCAAACCCTTTGAATTGTTTTTTGATTTTTCATATTCAGTTTCTTTTTTATTCCTTTTTTGAAAACTTCACATTCAAAATTGGTCTAATTTTGTAGTTCGTTAGTTGTTCTGTTGTTTTGATTCAATACACAAGACAAAAACAACAACAAGGCTGCTGTGAAACTGAGGCATACTGGCATTAGCAAGCAGAGATATGTTAGGCCAACAGACCTAAGTCACAATTATAGGAATTTGTGTAGTGTATATTGGGCCTAAGAACCAATGGGTGACAGAAAGGGCCTAAGTCCGTCAATTATCACTGAGAACAGAATAGGCCAAATGTCTTTAGGGGGGTAAAAAATGAAAACGAATCGAAGTTGAAGTGCCAAAAGATGTTGATTAAAAAGCTATTATCAGGGACCTTATCCTAGCCAAAGCTCAGATCTTCACTGAGAATACATAACTAGATATTCAACTATGATAAAATTCAAAACTGTTTTTTGCGATTTTCTCAAAACTCAAAAATGTGACTTAGGCCTGTTCTGTTCTCATCCGGCGATATAGATCAAAAGTGTAATACCGTTAGAATTTATTTTTATATTCCAAATATCCTAATTTAGGATTGTCGAATCAAAACAAATTCTCCAATATATAAATATATTAAGGAAAATTATTCAAATTGAAATAGTGTATAAACAGGGTCTCTGAAAAATCCAGCCAATTTTTTAGTAATAACAATTTAAATTTCTTTGTTTTTGTTCATTAACATTTCTCATTGTGCTTGTACTTCTCTTTTAATATACAATTAAAGTTAGACACCCTGTATTCTAAATTATGACATATTGGACAGAAAGCACACACTAATCATTGCATATTCATATAGATAAATAAAAAAGAGTTAAACCATTGTTTTTTGGGTTTCGTCTGTGGCTTCAAACCAACGACCCTCAGCTCAAATTGCTTTTTTTATAAATTATTAAATTATAAATTATATATATATATTCTATAGAACCTTTGAAAAAAGCCAATTTTATATTTTAACTGTGTCACATCACAAAAGATTCGGAAATGAGAGTTAACCAGGAGGCGTATATAGTTTGTAGCTAACAGACCTGTCTCGAATTAGAGATGAAAAATTTCATGTGACTTCTCCAGAACTTTAAGGAATGTTTTTATTTTCATTTTTTACCGTAATATCATTTAAGAATATTGTCAATATTGCATAGTTATATTCGAGAGATTACCGAATAGAAGGAGAAAAAATATTTATTCAAAGCGAATAATTTATTGACATATTGTCTGATAAAGATCTTGAATAAATAAACTGGAATTCTGATTAGCTTCGAAGCATGAAGAATAATTTTTCAATTGTAAATGTTTCAAATCAAACGTAAATTTAAGGATTCATCATAAAGAACGTAGCTCTTGAAAATCAAAATTGATTTTATCTTTCCAATATAACATTTGTTATATTGACGTATTTGTCTGTTAGTAAAGTGTGTGCAGATTCCCGTGTGTTCGTTGGAAATCCGCAAGTGCGTTGCGCTGTACAAGAGTTTGATCTATCGACGCGCGATTGACATTCTGTGTCCAGGTCACGTGTTACCAGACATTAGAACAGTAAACTGCTCCTCAATATTTAAATATTCGATACAATATTCAAATATTTTACCCAAAGCTTGCTTTTTATGTAATTTGTTAATCCCAAAGTAAATCAGAACTTGGCTGGTGTTCAAGTTTGGTAAAAACGTTTGCAGCCCACAATGAATTTCCTCATGTGAAAGAGGCCCACGACACTAAAAAGACACTCTCTCAACAAAAGGACTCACCCTCTTTTTCTGTTCTTCTTGGCATGATATGATACCTGGGTCTGTCATCATTGCTTTATAAAAGAAATACCACATAGCAGGAGTGAAGATGAGAAACAATAATTGAGCAAACATGGAACTGATGACCGGCCAGAAGAAGAAGAATGATGTCATGTAGACCCAGAACTTTGTTGCGAACGAAATACAAATAGGAAATGTACTGACCATTTCATGCTGTGTAACACAAAACCTGAAAACAATTGTTGATTATAAAAACTTGTCAGATTTCCTTCATCACATAATAATGTAGTACGTCTGAGAAATGAAATTTTTTTATACCAAATGGATTTCAAGTTTCATCCCTGCGGGAGGAATTAATGTGTGTGTATAACCCAATTTAGCACAAAAATAGATGGGAACAATTGGTTCAAAATAGGTACATAGGTATATTGACAATCGGAAGAGATATCGTACCTCTGCATAGGATATCATTTTTATATTAGGTAGCGGGATGTTAGTCAGATGACTGAATTATCACAGTTGGGGGTGTATTCGACCTGCCTTCAATTTGGTGTAAAAATTAGCTGTGAAACTTGCTTTATTTGTATGTATGTGCAGCATAGAAGCAATATAACTATCAACAAACTTTATTTACCCTGTGGAGTTCTTGCTTGAAGCCTCGCACAGAGTAGATCATGGACAAATTTTACAAATATGCTTAGAACTAACTTACATAATATAAAGAAAATAACGAATACTCACATGGCCATAACATGAATAAAACCATACGCCAGAACGAGTAATATACACTTTAACAACCAGGTTGCCGATGAAATATTAAATATAAATCCAACAGAAAATATTGCAAAAAATGCAGTCACAAGTGCAGCACGTTTCCTCCACTGTTAATGTAAAATAGGAGAGTTGAAAAATTGTAAGTATTTTTGGTGCTCCCGAAGTATGCGAACCAAGATGGCAGACATCGGAACGTAACATGGGTAACAGGTTAGGGTTAGGCCATAATTTTTCTCCAAGTTTCCTTATTTTAGTCCTATTATCAATTCGAAGACAGCCAAGAGCCTCCCGTAGTATTTATACCTAAAATTATGGCCTAACCCTAACCTAGTACACATATTACATTCCGATGTCCGCCATCTTGGTTCGCATACTTCGGGAGCCCCGTATTTTTATTATAATTTTGTGTATTTTTTATTTAAAACAGTGGACAGTGGTTCCCAAAGTTGACTGACCACGGGCCAAAATTAGAAGCGGGAGGATATTCGCGGGCCGGGAGCGTCTTCAAGAGGCCATTACTGATGCATATAATAAGTAGGATACCAATATAATTGAATTGGACGAATATACATGAGTTTGAACTGTGATAATGATGTAACAATTGGTTGTATCTGGAACGCAAAAAGGTACAAACATTGAGTGTTCAACTATTTCACCAAAGTTCGGAGGGCCATATTAAATTGTTAGGCGGGCCATAATTGGCCCGCAGGACGCAGTTTGAGAACCACTGATTTATACAATGCGTGTTTCATGACTTTCGTTCGCAATTAACAAGGCTCTAAATTAAGGAGGGTAAATAAATTTAGATCATTCTTACCTAAATTTTTTTTCATTTTTCAATATTTTCAAAGAAAAACAACAGTTTTCGAACAAAACTTTCTAATCAGTAGTTTTTATCCAATTTCATTCAGGTCACTTGACTTCCAAATTTTTTTTATTTGTTGAGAAAGTATTTTCTTGACCTTGCTTAAATCACGCCACCATGAACAACAACACAAAACAAAAACAAAAATATCCCTGGGGGCTTATTTCACCTTTTCAAAGAAAGTTTTTCCCAATTTTTTGTTTATGGTGATTACGGCTGTCCAGGGGAAGCGAATATTTAAAATCAAATCGCAAATTATTACGGAGGTCCATATGAAGGTAATAATTTCTTTCAATGTACTTTTTTTATTAGCTTACAAATCCTTGTCTTCTATTATTATCGAAAATAATTACACTCTCGCATTTTGATGGCTGTTGTACAATAACAATACAGTTATTAAATAATGTCACTAAACTAGCTCCAAATTGCCGAACTCTCTAAATGTAATTTTCAATTTCCTGGGCAACTGTGTTATCCATGTTAATAATTGTTATCATTTTTCTAGATATAACACAAAAAATGAAGACTAATAATAACAGGATTAAAATAGTCTGGACAGGCTTTGCATGCCACATTACAACCAAATCTATTTTGATTGATTGGGGCCTGTGTAATCTTTAACTATCAACACTTGGGGGATTTTGAAACTACGATTTCTGAGATTTTTTGACCAGTTTATGGGGGGGGAGGGGGGTTATGTGATTTCTTGTTATACCTCTGGAAACAAAAAATTCACAAAATGCAGGAATTTCAGGAGTATTTGAGATGTAATCGCACATATGTTATCACAGTATCGAAGCAAGAGTTATCATTGTACAATGATAGCTTTAGGATTGCATAATAATACTCGATTATTCGGTTCGATTGGTGAAAAATATTTGATCAGATTTGAATTAAAAAATATCCGATTTGATTTAAATCAAAATATAGCTGATTTTGCCATAATTGTAATGTGACAAAAGCAAAGTCAAACAAATTCAATTTTTCTTCGTCTTTACCTGAGAAGTATTAAATCCTCTTAAAAATGTTGGCATTCTTGAATCGAGACCTTTGTCTTTCCGCATTGCTGTTAATTTTGAAATGATCCAAACATTTTTCTTCATTCGAGCTATGTCGAGAGGAGTTTCACCCTGTAAGAGAAAGTTGAAGATAAACGATGTAATATACAGTGATCTTGGCATTTACTTGTAAGTAAAATAGGATAGTTTTACGATAATCTCATGTCATTTATTATTTAGACATCTTTAGCTTCTCGTCAAGTTACCAGTAGCCTACATGTCGATGTCAGGTACGGGGATAGTTGAGAAGTTATTTGGTTCAAATGTATGGACTTACAGAAATGAATCAAGTTTTCTTGATCGAGTGCAGGATACCAAGAAAAAGAAATATTATTGCTTCCTTGAACTATGGACATATTTATGTATTAGCACACTTTCATTAACCAAAAAATTTACAATTTTAAAACTAAAACTTGAATTAAACTTCCGAAAATTTGATATTACCTCATTAAGATAACTCCAGCTGCTTAGCATCATCATTTTATCACTTAGTTGGAAACTGACCTACTATATTGCCCAAGCGTTAAAATAATTAGCACAACTATAGCAAATATTTTTTATACCATAAAGCTTGTTATACACATACTACATACTGGTACACATACTACAGGAGTACCCAGAAATCTACTGCTAGTTATAAGGGCTACATTTCATTAAACTGCACTACCTCCAGCTCAGATTACTGACCCAGTTCATAAACCCCGGAGTTGGAGCGATTAGGCAATCTTGCCTACTGGATCAACTGGTTTTATTTTGCCTGATCTAATTATATAAAATTTCAGAAAAGCATTACATCTGCAAGAAATTTTGGTACCTTCGTAGAGTGTGTACCAGGTTAGGGTTAGGCCATAATTTGATTCCAATTTTCCTTATTTTAGCTCTGCCCATAGGTTTCAGTCCCTTTACAAAACTTGATGTTTAAGTAGGCGAAACAAAATTAGTTATTTGCATATTGGTACACACACCTATTGCGGCGCCCAAATTTTAACAATGAAATTAAAACACCAAATTGGTCGCTAACAAAAACTAGGAACACTTTGATCACTAGACCATATTATGAAGCAAGAATAGCTAGTAATATGTTTCGATATCATCCATATTTTTGAACACAGATGTTCATACTGCATATGGCTCTAGGATCAATTTATTTCAATTTTGTGTAATTCGAGATTTAAATCAAAGAGATCTCACTCCATGAAATTCCTTGAATAGTTTAAAAATGCTAGCCCAGATGTAAGCTAAGTAGTAATAAGAGAGCAATGCTCAAATATATACAGTATATTATAGGGTGTCCATGAAGTCTTAACATTTTTAAAATTGCAAAAGGAATTTATCGCTACCAAATAGTCTTTTGGCTCTCACAGATGTAATGGAGTAAAAATACTTGAACAATTACTGATTAAAAAACAACAAACCAGGGGCGCCATTCGCTAAACTTCGTAAAAAGCCGGGTTTACGATCTCGTAGCTGTGTCTCTCAGAATCGTGATAGCGAAATCTCGTTAAATGCGATTCACCAAAGACCTCGTAAGCACTTGACGCACGGTCACTAGCATTCTCTCGAAATCTTACGCACGGTCGCAGTTGAACAAAATGCACTGACTGATCACTCAGCCGTATCAGTTGTCGCCGCTTACGGTCGAGCGTCTTTCGCCTTCGCGGTAACCTATCGGCTTTCTCTGCTTCACCTTTGCAGCCTGCGTTTTGAAATTTTGTTCATATAGCAGTGGCGTAATCTATAGACTGACGGATAGGCTACATGGAATAAATGCTGAAGTTACACAGAGAGAGATTTATTGCCACAAAACAAATTACATATTGTGAACTATTTGTGTAACAGACAATAAAATCAGTGAGTTGCCAAAGCTTGTTAAGATTCCATATTTTTAATTTTTCATTGAGTCTATAGTCCTCTATTAAGGTCCTTTCATTTGCATCTAGCTAATTTTTTTCTTTCGGATACGACATGGAGAGATTGTTGGACTTTTCTTCTGCAAGCTTCAATATAGGTAGCCATTTGTGAATCTGTGTTCATAATACTGTAGGCCAGTGCTAGAATAAACAAAAAACAATGACTTCAACAACTGAACAATCTCTGAATCTCAACCCTAGTTTAATCTGTAAATGCGGCAGATATTCCACAGCTAAGTTAACGGCACTAGACTACATACACGCTTACCTGAGTAAGGCCCCTTGATACTATGCCAATTTTTACAAAGTATGCTAACGTCCCAACGAGCCTATTTTAATTTGAATCACTGCTGAGAGCAATCCGAACTGTTAACGAGGCGAAGATTGTTCTCGTTAGCTAGCGAGCTCTTCAGCGGTTAAAGAACTTCCGTGAATACCGATTCTCGATAAAATGTGAGAAGAAGGCACTTTACGAGACGTCTCATTTGGCGCCAAAAAAACTCTCTCGAATAATTTCTCTCGAATATTTACGAAGCTCTGTGAATACCATTTTTGCTTTTCACGAGAAAGTCGGTGCTTAACTAACACGTTAAGCGGTAACGAAGCTTTGTGAATGGGGCCCCAGGTTAGCATATATTGAATGCTGACTTCATAACAAAATTGAAATTGTAAAAGACCTAAATGAATTTGACAACCTATTTTTTTGTTCTATAAAAAAACAAAAATATTAGACCAATGCCAAATAAATGAAATAACCTGCTTCATGATTTAAAAAAAGGTAATTCCCTACAGGTTACAATAATTTAAAATTTTATTGAATAAGAACGTTATGTACAGGGTAAAAGATGCCAAAATTTTCACTCTTTGTGATGGCTAAGCATCATTTTTGAAAAAGGAAAAAAATCATAACTTCAAATAAAAGAGGAAATTACTTATTTGGAACTGGCATAGGCACATAGAATCACTAAGCACTAACTAACTTTATTCCCCTGTTCTAACCTAGCCTGCTCCATTATCCCTGCTTGCATACTGCTTGCACTGCCAGAAAAGAAAGCTGACTTTTGTTGCATAAAAATTTCCGTGGCCCATTCACTTTTCCATGAATGGGAAAAAACATGAGAAAAAAAATTCTTCTTGCAAGGATAGACACTTAGAATTACCAGCACTCTGTAGCAAAAACAGCATCATCGTTCATTGCTACTACAATCAAAGTTTAACTAATTTATCCATAACTCTAGAAATTTATAATAGGTTTGTGGTTGTGGTCACCTGAAAATGCCCACGAGAGAAGAGTGTTTTAGGAGGACCATAATACCTGAATATACCATACCATACCAAAATTCAGACAAATTATTATTTCGAAATATTTCAAATTGAACAACAAAAACTAGAATAATATTCACCCACCCTGTTATTTTTAGCTTCTAAATCAGCACCGGCATTCACAAGAGCCATCAAGACGTTCGAATTCTGTGACATGCATGCATAATGCAACGGAGTATTATGTTGATGTTCGTCTTGAAAGTTGACGCTTGCATGCATTGAAAGTAGCATTCTCGTAGGGTCGATTCTTGAAAAAAATTATTTTGATTAATTAATTATCAATTGAAAAATTTAGTTTAATTATTACACAAGAAAGAAATGCTCTAATAATATATGGACATAAAGCTATGTGCAGGTTACGTTAATAAATCACTACCAAGAAGACTGGAGATTTAATTATGTTAAAAAAATTAGCATTGTTGAAATATGAAATACCTCTGTGAGACCAATGATTCACTATAGGTATTTATAGAAGGTAAAATATATGAAAAGATTTGAGAAATGGATTATATTTTTGTAATTTTTGCAAACAAGAGGATAAAACTTGAAGCTTTCTGGTCTATACTCTATTGGGACATATTTTGTCATTAATCGCTGTACTCAGTCACAATTCCATTACAGTATGACATATTCTACACACTAACTTACACACCAGTAATAAATTCTGTCAGAAAACACAATAATTGTTCTGGTCAGGATTAAAAATGCCAATTATATGTATAGTAATAATACAATCAATATCTTCACTCAAATGTACGAGCAGAGAAACTAAAAACGGCCATATGGTGTCTTTCATTGTTGGCATTTTTATAGATTTTTAAATTGTGCGCTTACGAATACTAAAATATATAATCAATAAGACTGCTCCAATATTATTGCTATACTGAGCAATCATAAAAGTACCACAATCTTACGCAGTACAATAATATCATATTGTACTGTCTATCAATAATATCATGCAACGCTGAATGATAAACACAAAATTTGAATTATTTTTCAAACACCTTCTAACAATTATTTACCCAAATGTTCTCCATGTTGCCCACATAAGAGGTGTCTTCCCATTTGCATCATACAAATCAGGATCCACTCCCTTCGCAATCAGATACGCTACTATATTCGAGTGACTGCACTGAACTGCAACATGTATTGAAGCACATCCCTCTGCATCTCGGACATTTGGATCAGCACTGTGACGTTTTTTAAAACAAAGTTTATTAAAAAAAAGTTGAAACAAAAAAGATATATAAGTTTGGCCAAGTACATATCCAAGCAACAAGATAGAAAAAAGTCAAGTCCATGAATCTGAAACAAATAAGTTATTAAATATTCCATATCAGACATGCACTGGAAGACAGATCGTGGTTTGTCCGTGATTACACCACCTCATCAGATTTTTCTTCTCTAGGATAAATATGTTCTTTCCTTATTTAAGAGTCAAAATTTTATTTAACGAAAACGTTGGTTTTTTGACTTAAACAAATGGGTGTGCATATGTATGTTGTTATCATAACAAAGTAGTTCTTTTAAAATATAAACTGCTTGATAAATGTCCGCCACAAAAACAATCCAGAATTAACTTTACCCATATTGCATTAGCAGCACCACCATAGGTAAATGTCCTTCTCTAATGGCCCAATGCATGGGTGTCGCCATTAAGTCGCCTCCTAAGACATCGACCACCGCTCCAGCAGAAATGTAGTACCTTGAAAACAGAAAACAAGTTCGTTAAATACTAGTGAAAATAGCAGAAAAACCGATCAATGAGAAAGAAAAATATTGTACTTGTGAAGAACTCTAGAATAAAACTCAGAATAAGTTCGGTAAAAAGTTTTTTTCTGAAAGTTTTCCCACACATCTCCAAATGTCTTAAATTAGGATTCAGAATTGACTTGTGATATTTCATAAAATTTTTGTTTGAACCAACAAGATGATCTTTCACAAAACTTCAGATTTCCTATATTTAGCAAATTATTTACTTAATCTAGGCTATCTATTTAAATGCATTGACAATAAAGCACTGGTTCTCAACCCGTGGGCCATGGCCCATTGCTGAACCACAGAAACATTTTCAGATGGGACACAAACAGTAAAAATTACAAGAGTTATTGATAAATTAGTTAAACTTTGATTGTAGTAGCAATGAATGATAATGCTGTACTAAGCTACTAAATGGTGATTTTTATTTTGAATATAAAAAAAGGATGTCAAATTTTGCATAAAAAAGAGAGCCAAGAGAGAAAAAAGATTGAGAAACACTGATCTAGGCAAAGCATTAATGTATTGTTTGGTTAGCATCTAACACTAAGAAAGGCCCCTTTCAAACTGAAAATCTGCTATAGGCATCACTTTATTCAATAACAAAAAAAATTTGTTTGTGTACATGCATTTTGTGTCTATAAATATAATAATAAAAATATATTTTAAATTTCAACTAAAAAGCGATAAACAAATGATTCATAAATGTGGTAAAAAAATTTTGTTGAGTCACAAAATTCCTTAATCCAGAAACCCACTAACTATTGATTATATATTTTCAAAGTCACAAGACACTAAAATGAAATTATATAAAATATGGAAAATCAAATATAGAAAAAGGAAGTCCCAGGCAAGGTAGATTTAAGTTTAATACAATCAAGGAAAGTCTTAGAAAATTCACTTTTCTATTCGTATAAATAATTCATAGTATTCCTACCCTCCCGTTTTAGGTGTCAGTCTCAGACTAGACGTCTATGTTCCCCTGTAAATCAATCTGAAATAATCCTATTTCATGTATGTTTACAGTCAGTCACAAATTCACCAGTGAGGTCTACTATGCATAGTATTCAATTTGAGTGAATAAGATAATTTAATGAAAGATAAAAAAGATAAATTAAAACACAAAATTACTAAAAAACGAATATATGGAACAATGCATTGCATAACCCATCAAAATAATGAAGAAAAAAAATGGTGAATACAATATAATACTCTATGGCGGGGAATCTAAAATGAATTGAATATTTAAATTGATTCAAAATCAATTCTATCCAATATTTTGAATCCTTGATTTTGGGAATTATTTTATTCAAAAATTATCATTTTTAGCAATCCAAAGTATAACCGTATAGTCAAAACATCTTCATTCATCTGCTGACAAAAGATAGATTTTATTTAATACTTAGAGATATTATATTAGAATGTAGATTATTCGTGTTTGGAAAATTTCTGCTTCAATGTTTTATTTTCTAACCAGTTAGTAATATTATGTACATAGTAAAAATATCATCATTTATTATCAAAATGAAAATAAAAGATTCCATATTAAATTAGAGTTTTAAATATAGAAACAATAAGTTTCAAAATAATGTTGATTGTCGTAATGATTCCAACATATTGAACAAATTATAGCAATATATTATTTATCAGTTTGAGGGCTTCAAATCAAAATACAGAGTAACCAAAAAAAACAACGGTCATTTGGAACTCTTGTTCAAAGCTTTCCAGATTACTAAAACTTTCGAGTACAATCATGCACGAACAGAAGTGTTAATAAATTTTCTTCATTTTTATAAAAGTAATGCATTAGTACTCATTCTGGGAGTCATTTACCTGGCTATGTCCTGTCTGTTATTTATGGCTGCCCAGTGTAGTAAAGTAATGTTCTCTGCATCCGGTGATCGAACGTCATAACCTCCTTCAACCAATTCTTTACATCTTGGTAATATTCCATACTGTGTCGCCTTTACAATGTCCCAATTGCTGCAAAAGAAAGGTAACGAGTCAGTTGCAATAAAAACAAATGTTGATGATATGGAAATACTTGCAACACTGATAGTAGTCTCACTGACTTGGTTCGCATTTGAATCATGTTGGGATCAATAATTTGGATTATGCGCAATTATTACTAGACTTTACCCTGACACAGGGTGGGGTTCGTACAACTATCATTTGCGGCTCTCTTTTTAAGTTTTGCATCTGGAATATTAACTGGCTAGAAATTTCCACACCAGATGAATGTAATGTCTATGTAATGTAATGTAATGGTTTCTCGTTATCTGAGAAAAATACTACACTAACTGTTATATAAAATTGCTCGGCAATCTAGTGTTATCAGCATCGGCCTATTACAGTATTATATTACACTAACTCATGAACATTGCAACTTCTTTATCAGTTATCTTTGCAGTTTTGGTTAAGGGCTCACAACTTTGCTTCAGGCAAACTTGCAAAAAAAGGATTTCGCAAATGACTTTGTAATATCTAAATCATTTTTTGTCTGTATCAGGACTTTAGTACGAATCAAATTTAAGGCAGTACATTTCAGTACTGAGCATACTAAAATTCAAACAAAATATGTCCTAAGACATGAGATATTAGAACTGCAAAATTAAATTCTGAATTGAAGCACTCAAAAATTTTCTATATTATACATAACATGAATTAAAATAAATAAAATTATTCAATTAATTAATAAATATATTTATATGTCTGTCAAAACCTCTAGACCTGAAAGAAAAGTGTTACTAGGAAAGGATAGGATAGGATTTACATATTTAACCCGGGGGAGAGGAAAGCCGATAAGATGGCTTATCCATATGGCGAACCACGGCCTCTCGTCCAGTTACCATTCCAAGTCGGGTATGGGATTAGTTATATTGTTAGTTTTCGGAAGCATGGACTTGGTGGTGGAGGAAGCCGTAACCGACCAGCGGTTACGTGAACCACCCAACGACGGCGAGGAGTCCAGCAATCCTCTCGCACATAACCATCCCTGCATGGGATTAGAACCTGCGAACCCACGCAGAGTAATTAGAGGTGCGGTGGCGAGCGTATTCCTAACGCTTAGCCCGTTGAGCCACACCGCCAAGCCATTTTAAATAGAGCGAGTACAAAAATTGAACTCAATTGAACTAAACAAGAGAACTCTTAGTTTTCAATAGATATCAATATTCAGATATTACTGTATTACAGTATTATTGTATAATAATGAAAATTCAAATATATAACTACAATACATGTTCTGTTTTTTCTTTTTTTTTGTTGAATTTTTCTTTTTGTTGAATTAACGTACGCTAGACTACCGTACCTGTATTCTTCAGGGTCGATGTTCATTTCCATATGAAACGCCAAAGTCTGAAAGCGACAGAAATCTCACAACAACAGAAAAAAGCAAAAGTTTGTTCAACTTCCCTAAATTTAGAAACTCAGACGCCGCAGGAGAAAAGTTGGTCAACCTCTCCTTTCCCTCTCAACTTATTTTCCTTTATTTAGAAACTACTGATCTATATCCATCAATCCCAGTCGAAAATTGTGAATGAGCCAAGGCTAGACGGTATTGAAATTCCACGCTAAAACCGAAAACGCGTCAGGCGAAAACGGCAAAAAATCCAGCTGTCAACTGACTCTGATTTAGTAGTGTGGTGTCTGGTGTACCGATGAGATTTTCAAAACAAATTTGAATTTCGGCAACTATTAGTAATTATTGTTTATTCATTATATTATGAAACACGAAATACGGTATAATTTGAAATCATTTTTATTAAATCGGATGGAATAATCCCGACAAACTTTACAGTAGCAAATAAGGTTGTTTGACTCCGAGTCCACCACTCGAACTGAGTAACCAACTATCTCAGCGGTTATCAATCTTTTTCAGTGCGATCTCCTTTCGTTCATCTTGAAACTATCCCCCTCGTATGTTTAACTGTTTCAAGTACACAGATACCGTTGAAACGGTATGATATGATATCATTTATTTCAGTGCTAATCGAGTGCTTTTACTTGATAACCAAAATAAAGGATATTTTACGAAATGCAATCTTGATACCGATAGTGACTTCTATAATATTCAGAATAGGATAGGACTCATATATTTATCCCGGCGAAATGGAAAGACGATCAGACGACGTGATCATTTGGCGAACCGCAGCCTCTCGTCCGGTTACCAGTCCATGTCGGGCATTGGTTTGGTTACATGGACTTGATGGTGCAGGAAGCCGTAACCAACCAGCGGTTATATGAACTACCCTACGGCAGCGAGTAGTCCAGCGATCCTCTCGCTCATAATATCCCCGCATGGAATTCGAACCTGCGAATACACGAAAGGTAATCAGAGATGCGATGGAGAGCGTATTCCTAATGCTTGGTGCGATGCGCCACACCGCCGAGACATTTTATATTAAGCATCTTACACACTAAAGCACATGTAAAGATGGTAGCGGTTCACCATGGCCGTATCGTTCCCTTCAGGTTATACCAAGATGATTGTGTTTCTGACTTTATTTTTGGCAAGATGGGTGTATTTTAGACATAATCGGGAGTCATTCCATCATAATCATCATTTCATGTTTGAACAGAATTTTGAAAGAAACTAGACACACAAATAATTGATAAAAATTGGAACTGGGATAAAAAATTGTACGTATCACGTAATCAATAGAAACAAGGCAAAATGTTCTGCTTATCATATTAAAAGTGAAGAAAAGAGAGAGAGCGATTTATTTTCATAAAAATATGTCAAAAAAGGACAATAGTACAGATTTTTATAAAAATGCATTGCAGGGGAGTACTCTTGGATCGCTTCTATTTCTAATATATATCAATGATTTACCAGTAGCAACTAGCTTAGACTCGACTCTTTTTGCAGACGATACCGCGCTCATTGATTCTGCTGCGTGCTGTGGAGAACTGCAGATTTCGATCAATAAAAAAATCGAGATGGTCAACTTATGGCTAAAAAGTAATAAATTATCATTAAACCTCTCAAAAACTAAATTCATGGTTTTTGGTTTCAGGCAAACTAATTGGCAGTTCCATCTACAAATTGACAATAAAAAGATAGAAAGAACAAAATGTATTAAGTATTTGGGTATAATCCAAGATGAGATCTTGTCATGGAAACCTCATATTGATCACTTATGTAAAAAAGTTTCACAATCATTCGGAATATTGTATAAGTTACGTAGAATCCTCGGTATCGATGCATTAAAAATTGTATACTATAGTCTCATATACTCTCATCTGAAATATGGCATTATATTATTATGTTTTCATAAACTTGACCGTTATTATATGAATGCGATTTTAAACAGTTTTTCGTGGGTAGGATTGTTTGAAAACTTGAATCATTATATTTAGGAAATTGAATTGAAGCTTCAAATATATTCACCAAACGAGTTTCTAAAAAAGATAGGATTTACACATTTATCCCGGGGAGAGAAAAGTCGATAGGACGGCTTAACCATATGGCGAATCATGACCTCTCGTCCGGTACCATTCCATGTCGGGTAGGCTATGTGATTCGTTAGTTACTTGTTTTCGGAAGCATGAACTTGGTGGTGGAGGAAGCCGTAACCGACCAGCGGTTACGTGAACCACCCTACTATTCCCGCAAGGGATTCGAACCGGCGATTGTTTAACCGTAAATTTAACATAATTGCTATTCCAGTATATTATTAATATTTCGCCTTAAATTCCACTTATGATACTTGTTCTGTAGCCGAATATATACATATGTATATTTGCACTTTATTTTTTATATATTTACTGGAGAAGTGTCAAATCCTGATTATGTATTATTGTGTGTTACTACCCCTAAAATAACTTGCCAGTCATAATCAACTATTATATTTTGGTGCATTCAAATTATAGTGTATAAAGAAAGATACTCGTGGTTTAATTACTATTATCAATTATTTATAATTAAACTGCCCCAAATAAACAAATGTACATAGTGATAAAACACGTTGTATCCTATATTGTTAGGCCTAATCTTTTAGGTTATCATCCCAACCAAATAGTTCCTTCCCATCAATTCTTGAGCTTATCTTCTATCTTTCATACTTTTGTACAAAGACAAAAATTACTGCTGAATTTGGTCTGGACTAGATAATGTTATTGTTATTGGTTTTTTATTGTAATAAATTTGTGTATATCACAATAAAATTTTCTCATCAGTTGATATGTAATACATGTCATATTTTTAGATGAATGAATGATGATCCTACGATAAAACATGATTATTTATTACTTCCATTTTTAGATATTCTTGCAAATAGTGTATATAGTGAATAAATGAGAGGATTTGAAGAATTTAATACCGAACCTGATGAATCATTTCATTTCTAAGAATGTAATTGTATGGGGGCAACAGACTCCGATGACCACAAAAAGGTCGTATCGTGTCTCCCAGTCATACACCTGGGAATATGTTTTTTTTCATTATTATTATTTATATATGTTTGCATATATTGTATGTTTATGGTTTGATGAATGAAATAAACTCTCTTCCTAACTCTCTCTCTGCAAACCCACGTAAAGTAATCAGGTGTGCGTTGGCGAATGTATTCCTAACGCTCAAGCTAACGCTTAGCACGATGCGCCACACCGACCACAACATAAAAAGAATTACATCATCATGTACTTCAATCACAATATGAATTTGTATATTTTTTTAGTAATGGAGTAGCGAGAATAGGCGAATAATGAAACGTACTACAACAAACTTCTGACCAAAATGACCGATACTCACGATGATACAGCAATTATTCGTCACGTTGTGGCGCTTTGCAACGGCTCATTTCCAAATTTCAAATGCGGCATTCTCTCAATGACACGCGAAAATAATAAAGTGAACAAATTGAATGATATCGTTGAAAATTATTGTTTTAAATTTAAATTCGCACAAAAAAATATATAAAAATTTTTTATTGGGTAAATATTGCTGTAGTTCTCACTCAAATTAATGTCGATTTAAACATTGTCTTTGGAATTTTACCAAATTTATATGCGCGTAGGAATTATTTAAAATATTCTGTCTCACCGGCATGAGTCCACTTGCTGCTGAAGTGACAAGGCGTGTTTTCAATCTCTTCCCAGTTGGTTTCAGCCTTCGTGATTTCACATCGTCTTCTAAGCAAAATGAGCGACGTTTACCATATTCCCGATGCCGGAAAGATTGAGGAGTTGAACAATATTGCAAATAGAATAAGAATCAACAGCATAAAATGTACTTCGGCGAGTAATTCTGGACATCCGACATCGTCGTCCAGCGCGGCGGATCTTCTGTCAGTTTTGTTCTTCCAAACGATGAAATTTCACCCTCATGATCCCCGAAATCCCTCTGATGATAGGTTTGTGATGTCCAAAGGCCATGCATGTCCTGCTTTGTACTCTGCATGGGTTGAAACTGGTCATATCACGGAAGAAGAATTGATGCAACTTAGAACAATTGGAAGTGATTTGGAAGGCCATCCAACTCCAAGACTTGACTTTATTGATGTGGCAACTGGATCATTGGGTCAAGGCATTAATGCAGCTGCTGGTATGGCATATGTGGGAAAGTACATTGACAAAGCAAGCTACAGGGTTTATTGTATGCTGGGGGATGGAGAAGTCGCAGAGGGGTCAGTGTGGGAAGCTATGATGTTCGGAAGTTATTATAAACTGGACAACTTCGTTACTATAATTGACGTAAACCGTCTTGGACAAAGCCAGGCTACAGCTCTGGGACATGACATGGAGACCTACAGAAAACGTGTCGATGCTTTTGGTTGGAACGCGATTGTCGTTGATGGACACGACATTCCATCAATATGCAAGGCTTTTTATGATGCCGAAACCTGCAAAGGTAAACCATCCTGCATCATCGCAAAAACTTTTAAAGGAAGAAACATCCTTGGGCAGGAGAATTTGGAAAACTTCCACGGGAAGCCTGTTCCTCCAGCTGAGAAAAGCAAGATTCTGGAACATCTTGAATCTCTCATCTCTGGACCTCCAACTGGATTACAACCTCAAGCTCCAGTGGATGATGCACCAGCTGTTGATATAAGCAATATAAAGCTTTCTTCTCCTCCAAATTACAAAATTGGAGATAAAGTTTCGAGCAGGAAAGGTTATGGAAACGCAATTGCTAAACTTGGAAAGAATAATGAGCGTGTTATCGCACTTGATGGTGATGTTAAAAATTCAACCTATTCTATCGAATTCAAGAAAGCCTTCCCTGGTAGCGCAAATTTCATTGAGTGCTTCATTGCCGAACAAAACTTGGTTGGCGCTGCAATTGGAGCTGGCACTAGAGGGCGCACTGTTCCATTCTGTAGTACATTTTCCGCCTTTTACACCAGGGCTTTCGATCATATCAGAATGGGCGCAGTGTCACAAACCAATGTCAACTTTGTTGGCACACATTGCGGAGTTGCTATTGGTGCTGATGGACCTTCGCAAATGGCTTTAGAAGATATAGCAATGTTTAGAACAATCCCTGGCTCAACCGTTTTCTACCCGAGCGATGCCGTCTCGACTGAACGATCAGCGGAGTTAGCTGCAAATACAAGCGGAATCTGTTTCATTCGTGCAAGTCGTCAAGATGACTATGTCATTTACGAAAACGACAGGGAATTCAAAATCGGGAGAGCAAATATTCTTCAACAAAGTGAAAAGGACACCGTCACTGTTGTTGGGGCTGGTGTTACTTTACACGAAGCTATGAAAGCGTACGAGACCCTGAAAGGCAAAGGAATCCATATCCGTGTTGTCGATCCATTCACCATCAAACCTCTTGACAAGGCAACTATAAGTGCATGTGCAAAAGCGACTGACGGTCGTATTATTACTGTGGAAGACCACTACCCCGAAGGGGGTCTTGGGGGTGCAGTAGCAGAGGCACTAGCAGATACCCGTGGAATAATTCTCAGGCGCCTCGCAGTAAAGGAGATTCCCCGCAGTGGAAAACCGGCCGAGCTGCTGTCAATGTTCGGAATAGATGCTGCTTCAATTGTCAAAGCGGTACAAGAACTGTCATCACAATAAAACTTCAAAATACTACTCGTCAACGTACAATTATGCAGATATGACACATTTTCACTCATTCGGAGATCAATGTAAACCCAAGTTTCAAGTAATAGACAATTATCACCAATTTCATTTTACTATCGCAGTGCCATATATTAACTTTTGAATCTCCAGTATTTTGCCAGTAACGCCATTATCTGATGTATTAGACACCCATCATGGTACCACCCAAGTGCTTAAACATGGTTTACCTACCTATATTTGTACAGTTTGTTATACGGAAAGTCAGTCACTACATTACAAAATCAATGCACCAATGCTGATTTAGTTGATTAATTATCATATTAGCGATGCAATCATGGCTTGTTTTCAATCCCCCTAGTCTATATTTACAAAATCAATGCCAGTGTGAAATTCAGTGTTTAGAAAAATTTTGGTTTCATGATTCTCTATTAGTTATTTAGTTGAATAATTCTGCCAGTAATTATCATATTAGCAATATCTCAAATAAACGATGCAATCATGGCTTGTGTTCAATCCTTGTGAATTTTTGCAAGCGGGAGTAAGTGTGTTATCTGACAATTGAACATCTCTCAGTGCTGTGAAGCAAGTCCCAGATGGTGTTGTAGGAATATCTATTCAATGCACGCCACCCGCATAGCGAAGAGATCTCCACAAAAGAATTTATCCGTCTAGACGAGCATATTTAGGTGCAGCAGACTTGTGAAATGACAAAAGCTTCTGTATGCAAGGTTCAACTGAGATATAGGGTTTCTGTCTAAGCATTTCGAATTAGCCTGGTGTAAAACTCAGAAAGTCAAAAACAGAACCATGGCCACATGTCTGGTTGTTTGTCCGAGTTGAATTAGGAAATAAACAAGCAGTAGTTGACCGAAGCTCTAACAAAATTGGAGTAAAGTTTATGCATATTGATTGAACAAAATATCGATCAAATTTCGAACCAGTAACAAGACCCACCATCATCAATACAGAGCCAAGATTCAATCTTTTGTGCGAATATATGCAAGCACATTGATCTCATTAAAAGTAAGGCCAGTATTTTTTAATGTTCAAGTCCCTGGGGGGACTGGGGTCGCGAAAAAATTTGACCTCACCAAGTGAATCGTGTTCGAAGAACACTAACTCAGAGGTTATCGCAATAAAGCAACAATCTCTTTTATTATTATTCTCACCAAAATTGCTGTATAAACGTGATTCTAGCTCAAACTTTGCATTTTATTTGGTTGAGCAATGCCCAAAACAAGTATAATACATTTTGAATAAATGATATTCGATATAGTCAAATCCATAATCCAGGAATAATTATATTCGATCGGTTGTTTGACATTTGATGGTCGTGCACAAAGATTCTAACTACAAAAAATAGAAAAATCCAAACAAAATGTTCTCCATCTCCATCTTACCGTACTTTATTTGGATCCCAAATTTTACAACATATTCGAAACTTTTTTATTAAAAGTATTTTTGAAAGGTATTTATAAATTGGCCATCCCTGTCTCATCTTAACTGAATGTTATGAGATCAATTCTATACCAACAGTTGCAATCTTCGATAACATAGGTATCCATGTATATCTCAAGTTACTGCCAAATGAAGATTTTTCCGGGCTTTTATCGGGTATTTCCCCTTTTTCTCCTCCCCCTTATTCTTAGTTTATTTACTTTCATTTCTTCCATTATATCCTTCTTTTCCTGGATAAAATCATGGTGACGACAAATATCGAATTTCCGCCAGGAATGCAGATCGATATATTTTTCATTCATTATGAGTTCCTCCTCAACAAAATGTTCATTCAAATAAGCATTTTGCGGCTGCGGCCATGATCTATGGTACTTCCAATTCCATCTTTTCCACGGTCTCATTTTAATTTTCTTTTCAAAAACAGGTAACTTTTCAGAGGGCGGTAAAATCGCTTCCGGAATCATATCGAGGTCGATTGTACAAATGGAACTGTCACTAGCGTCTCGTAAATACCGTAAGTCAGTATCAATCCATTTTTCTAATCGTAAAACTTCGATTTTTTGGATTATGGGACTGTAAAGTTGATATATAATCTCAACCGCTTCCCCGTCAAGAATATTACGCAAACAAAAATGACAGTCCATTCCAAAACCATCTCGATATAACACCCTTCCAGCAAACTTTGAAACTTTTTCTTGGGCATATTGATCAGCCATGGTAACTCTGACAATCGAACCAGGATAGAACTCCGGTATATCAATATTTTGTCTTCTGCGCAGACAATCCATTCTTTCCAACCTGTATTTTAAGTTATTTCTATGCCATTCTGGTAAAACTTGTCGAGGGACGTATTCAGGTGAAAAAATTTCTGGGTCTTCCCTCCCTTCCACGGAAGCTCGTTTTGATGCATCTGTACGAGATTTTAACGTCGGTCGTTCAGGAGCAACAAACGTTGATTCATACTGTCGTAAAATTACAGAAAAAGCTGAAATCTTTGAATTCTTGCATATTCGATTCGCTAAATTGAGACTGTATTTTTGTAGCATTTTGTTATCGTTTATCTGAAGAAAACATACAATTTACTCTTTGAATTAAAAAGAGAAGAACATTAAACTCATTCAGCAAATCAAGTTGACAAAAAAAGGAAACACTTGTAATACATTGCTCCACATTCAAATGAACTACGCAAATTTACAACATCTAGTAATCATTACTGGATATATTATAATATATGATTAAATAAATTGAAGTACGGTAGACACACGAATTATAGCTTTTAATCAGGCAAGTCATTTACACAGAACATGATTCATATTGAAGAATTTGCCTAAAATTTGAATTTCTACTCACAAACAATCCTAGTGAGGTTTATTAGAAATGCTATTCATATTTTTACTAAGCAAGAAATCAATGCTCAATTATATGGACATGAAGCTCAGAGGCCAAATCAAAATAAAACAGCAAAATTTGGGTGAAATAACGGATTGTATAGGGCTCAAGATGAAATACGAGCTTCTGGCAGCCTTGACCATCTCAAAGTAATTGATTGGTCTGGAAAACGCGCTTTTCACAGAAAAAACAACAATAAATGTAAATAAATTAGGTATCCAATATCAATCTTTGAATAAAATCTAGGCATAGTCGCAACATTGCCCGTCCCAAATACATGGACTGTAGACTGCAATTAAAACTATTGGATTAATTCATCTATGCAAGATCATTGGTAGAAAATTTTAAATGCTTGTCATGACCAGAAACCTATTTGAAGAATATAAATAATAATTACTGCAAATGAATTATTAATGCCCATATAAAAAATGATTATAAAGTTGATCTCAAAATCAATAATGACTATATATATATAAACTTCACTAATAAACCAACTAACATAAACTGTACTTTTAAATTTATCCTCAAGAATGTAGTTAACTGTAAGTCTGTAACATATTGATATTCATGTTTTATAACATGGACATCCATTGTTAAAGTGATAGAATCATTGTTAGAATTACGTACTGCTTCCCAAGTTGGAATGAAGCCAGCCAATAATAAAATTAGATTATAGCAAAAGCACAATAATGCATGCATATAATAAACATAAATAAGTAAACAATCTGATATCTTTGTTTGAGCAAGACATAGTAGAAAGACTTTGTATAATCACAAAAGAGTGGAAAGGTGATGAAATAGCTCAATAACCACTATAATATACCAAATTGCAAGGCAGTTGACTAGCTCATTCTGACAAACAGAACAGACTAAATTAAGCATATGAATTTGGTGCAAAATAAAGATGTATTCAAAATAGTCATTACATGATAGATTTCTAGAACAAGACTGTTCGGAAATTGGTTTTTGGGAGAACTGTAATGTATCTTGCTTATGTTGTTACAATGAAAATAAATTTATTAAATTTGTTATTTAAAGACTTCTATATAGTAGGTGAAGATAATTGCAGCGATAAATGAATAATTTTCAAAATTGAAAACTTCAATAAATGCTGTAACATTAATGCACCAAATCCTCGGTAAAGTCCACCTTTGCCTTCATACGTAACCACAGTAGAAAGACAATCAAGACAACCTTCATATCTTGAGCTAACTGGAAGGAAACCAGAACCCCTGTCCATATCGTCTATAATTGTACGAGTCCCTTGGACATGAAGTCGGAAAATAATAGTTTCAAATGGATAGAGTAATACGTCTGTTATAACTTGTGCAATAAAATTAGATAATAATTGATGATATTGCGTTGTTGCATGTCGAGACGTGGATATTGTTGTTGTTAGTGGGACTTGGTTCACCGCCTGCCGTGAAGTACTGGGTACTGACATATACGCTGTATCGACGGGTGAAAAGGGATGGGCAGAATTAAGTGCTTGGTCATGCTTTCTCTTTTCTCGCAAACGAAATCCACTTAGAATACTAAATTGCAGCAAGTTGGTTAAAATGTATCGCAAAAGAAAATAAAGCACAGTAGGAAGAAGTAAATGACGAAAGGGTAGCATTCTTCGACTTTGTACACCAGCGAAACCAAATAATCGTGAAAAACCTTCCGTTATGAAGTAAAATATACCAGGTGTTTCACTTGCTGCTTCACTCTGTATACTCTCCACAAGATGAGCTGAATAAAATGGCATTACTAATCCTGCTGACAACGCTTTCAATAAAACATGACCAGCTATGTCTTTCAACTTGGAATGCCGGTCAACTTCTTTTGGTAACTTTTTCGTTGATTCACTCAGACCTGATTCAACACCAAAGGTGAGAGCATTGACCATTAAATAACTTCCGACGCCTTTCCAAAGACAAGTAAAGCCTTGGCTACGTTGTAAATTAAACGCTACTCCCATTATAGTAAAAGGAGTATAATGATATCGTTGGCCAACATTGTTAACTTGGCATTGTCGGCGTAAGACTAAACAAGGGTAAACAATCACCACATCACTCAAAGTGTTTGTCAAACTTATCCCAAATGTTGCAAGCCTGCGAGAATGTTCCGAAGCAGCTGGGTGAATTCTGGGTTCAGATGAGCCAGCTCGCATGCTTAGTCCAGGTTGAGGAGAATCCTTAAATTCTTCCGAATAGGCTGCCATGTTCGTTGCTGCGTGCTCAGCACCTAGCTTTGCCAGGCTTTCTTCATACTTTAGGAAACTAGCAGGAGACCAGGTAACTGATCTTTTAGGCTTTGGTGCCTTGATATTGGTCTTTTTTGTACCAGACCCAGGCTTTGGTTTCAGTTTGGTAAAACTTTTTGGTGGGTCTCGTCCACTAGCACCAACACTATGAAGTTGGTCGCCAACTCCAAGTTCGTTTCCAGGAAAACCATCCATGCAATTTATCTGAATATTATTTCAGTATTTAGTCTATGGAGATCTAGATATAAAGAAAAAGATACTTGTATTGTGAGGATAATATTCTGGTATTAAGGATAAGATTTTCATCCAAGACGCGCAGAAGAGCACCCGAAATCGAACAAGCTATTTCTCTCGTTTTCTCGTCGCAACCACATACTGACATATCTCTGTGATCCCAACAATCCCAATAGGAGAGAGATCGATAACGTTAGTCAGTTCTTTATCGTCGGCGCCGATGCCATTTCGGGCAATCGTACGTATATATTTGGCAAGCAAGCTCTTATGACGTAATTGTGACATCATTTTTGGATGGCGTGTTCAGATGGGGGTTAGGATTGACATATCAAAGAATTGTTATGCTACGTCCACTAGAAGTACGGTATGTTCAGACATTAGGTACGAAACTACAGGAGACCCGGTGAGCCACACTGCCGCTCCTCTTCAATTTTTAATCCCACCACCTGGCCACTGGATACCGGTACCACTATGTGGAGACATGGCCGTACTGCTCTTTATTTGTTCTTACTGTATTCAGGTACCTATTACAGTATTAGAGAACAAGCATAAAAATTTATGGTACCATTACATGCATTAAGAGTTCTTATATCTATAGTTTCACCCCACTGCCACATGCAGGCATACTGACAATTAAATATGCTAAGGTCAGGAGCAAGGCAGTATGTGTTACTTTTGTATGACTGAAGTCTTATATATATGCATCAGCAGTTCGGTACATAGACCTTCACATCTCGGAACCACGGTAGTCCGACTTTCACTGTTCACTAACAATGCGTGCCGAATGTGAATCGCTAGATGACAGTCAAGTGCCTTCATCGCTCTCTTTTCTACCCAAACAAACGAAAAAGAGATATTTTATTGGTCACGGAGTGGACCTATGGATTGTTTTTGGACACGGTAGTGGACATAACGATCGTTTCAATATTATGTTGTTGTTATTCTTCGTCATCATCATTATAAAATCGCTTTTCTCTTCGAATACTATTTTTTTATGAATCCTATGAGATCTGATATTTCATTCAAAATTTCGCTCTTCTGAAATTTTATCATGGGAGCACTGTTTTGAAACTTAATTCAAGCGGTTGCGTTATCAAGCCTGCGGGTACGTTACTGCTAACTTACTGTACCACCATAGATTTTACATAACATTGTTATGCATTGTCTCTGGTTCCACAGTGAAATTAACTTATTGGACACGTAGTAGACATAGCGATCGTTTTGTTGTTATGTTGTTCTTAGTTTTGTTCTCGTTGTTCTTTGACACATTTTGAAGAAATCGCTTTTCTCTTTGATTACTGGACCAATTGCTTTGAAATTTTCAGTGGTTAAAGATAGAATTTTTTTCCAGAAGGCTATAACTTTTTTTATCGCGATATATCGTCCATATATTTGAGCATAGCTCTCTTGTTGCTTTTGCGATCTTATTATTGCAGTAATTTAGGTCATATAGCAAATCTAGCCTACGGTATTTGTTAATTTTGATAAGAGCAAATTGAATTGAGTTTTTATATGCCAGAGAAGAACCGTTTCACGATCGAATAGCAGGCCTACATACAGCAACAGGTACTGGTAAGGTACCGTACCGCAGTGAATTACGTTCTCATCTTTTCAGTTCAGTTCTTTACAGTTCTGATATGAACAACATAAATTTTGTAGCCTACCTTATTGTTTTATTTGATAAGAGGAAATAAATTGAGTTCTTTTATGACAAAGAAGAACCGTTCCGCGAACGAATATCAGGTACTGGTTATGGGGGAATCGATATTTTTTTTATTTTGCCTTGGTACCGTAATGTAGAAGAGACTTGGATCACTCGGTACTTCAATACACGTTAAAATTGAATGGAGAAGAATAGATCATTACCTCAGGACATGGAAGAGCTATGACAGTTCCTGTAACGTTATTTGTGCCCCGATTCAGGTGCTGGTAAGTTGAAGCATATGATTTTGGGACGTTTTCACGGGAAATGTTTGACTGCGGTACCTGATCCGGTAACACAGAAGTGACTCAGATCATGTGATATTTCAATTGATGTTTAAACACAATCAAGAAGAATGGATCATTGTCACAAGACCTAAAAAAGCTTTGACAGTCCTTGTACCCTAACGGTACCCCGATGCAGGTACTGGTAATTACCGCATATATATATATATAAGTTTTGGGGAATTGGTCTGCGTGTCAATATATTTGAGCATTACTCTCTTGTGTTATTATTATGTGGTTGTTCTTGTTCATCTCGTTAGAATTTTTCTTCTCAACGATAGAGAAAAATTACTTTTATCCATAATTACTGTACAAACTGCTTTGAAATGTTAAGTTGTTAACTATTTTATTTTTCGCTAGAAGGCTATTTATCACTTTTTCTTTATTTCTGTGAGCTTTATGGGATTCGTTCTTGGGTGCTATGACGTCATCAAAGTGCGCGCACCTAGTGGCGGTTCCGCGAACGCGGGAACATCTCGGCGGATCTCGTGCTCACTGCTCAGTGAACGTCGGTGAATCTCGTGCTTAGCTAAAGTGGAAAAGGTAGACTGGGGAACGGTAGACTGCGGTAGCCTACCTGATGTGGAAATACAGGAGTGACTCGGATCAGTTGGTATTTCAATTCACGTTGAAACTGAATCATATGGATCAGATCATCGCCCCCCCCCCTCCCTCCCCCCAATTAGGAATGTAGAAAAAATGGACGAATAATAGGCGCAACTTGCCGCGCGCCGGACAAACGCGGAAAACTTTATGGTTCCGCTTTGGATGCCGTAAATTAGAAGTATATATTAGGAAGATGCCAGAAGCGGACCAATGAGCGACTGTAAATTTCCAGTACTTCCAAATGGTCCACGGTGTATCTAGCTTGGGTGTGACTGCCGCGACTAGTGCCATAAATGAGTGATTTTAAGTATAGATATGCCACCGCAAATGAAAGAAGTTGGTGGAAAACAATAATTTTATTTATTTTTTTAATTTCCGTTGATAAAATACAGGTAAAACAGTTAGCTTAGCTTTATAAATGACTAGATATGAGAGGGAAAGATGTAATAAATACATGTCAGAGCAATGACATTAAACAACATGATGCGCAACTCCGGCATTTTTGGCCGAAGATCGTATTCGATAACACGCTCCAATGCACATACTTGACGAGACGAGAACGAGCGGATGTGTGATGTTTTCAAGGCATAGCACGAATGGTGTTCATGCCTGCTTTGACAGTTGTTGTCGATTTTAATGATATTTTGGAAAGTTGAGTTAAAAAGAAATCGGAAAAAGGTAAGATAAATACTATTGTTGTATATCACACCCGGGCATCGCACTATTAAGTGCATGTGGGGAAGCCAGCCTTTTCAAATACTACAAAGTTATTAATTCAGTACGGTACGTAGTTGCCCATTTGCCGAAATTGCATATTTACTTACCCCTTAATAGTTCATGTACCTCCATTTAGATTTTTCTAACCAATGGGGATATATACGCGTTGCCGTAACATACTATTGCTCAATCACTTTTATTTGCGTATTGATTCAAAGGGTTAACAAGTTCACCTAACATTTCACCCATACCGGTCTATATTGTATAGTATGATCTCTCAAGTATATGAAGCCACGAATGCCTGTAATTTTCGGACTAAACCCCTTCATTAGTTGGTTTATATACCAAATTCAGTAAAACATTTTTTACATTTAACATGAGATATTGGATTTATTAACTTTTCCATTTTAAATCATATAGACTGCTTTAAATATTCTTGACGAAAATTAATAAATCTCCTCTCTTTCTTCAGATGTGAATGTTGTGGACAAATCTGTATAAGCATTGTGAGATTCCTGTAGCACAAGAGGCAATAGCAAAAATAGTAAGAATATCAATCAAGAAATTAAGTCGACATAGAGCAAAACTTTCAACTATTCGTCTAACCTCAATTTCCCATTATTTATTCACAGGACAACTGTAGCAGACGGGGAGATATCAGAAGTCTGGCGAAATATCAGTGACAGTGTGATTCCAAGAAATACAATTAGAGTACTCCATAAATGATTGCAATAGAAGAACAACCTATGGAGGCATGCAAAGACATTTGACCCTCCGGTAGAGTTGTGTATGGGTCTTATTTGTAAAAAGGCACAAAACACGCCAGACATACTGAAAACAGCTTTGGAAATGTAGATTATGGGTCACTCACTACACCATGTTAGAATTGGTTCCATAAAATTTTGGTAGTACTATAGAAGAAATTCAGGGAAGGGTATAATCATAATTCATGATAAAATACTGTTCAATATTTTGGACAACTTCAATATAGACCAGGGATGTCAAACTCGCGGTCCCAGAGAACTTCCAGTGCGGCCCTCGAACGCTAAACAATAATTGTAATAGTTTTTTAAAAGTTTTTTACTATCTAAATGTAGAAGATTTTTCCAATTTTTTGAAGTGAAATTGATTATTCACGCAAAAAACAATTTACTGAAAGTAGTTTTGGAAAATACATTTTGACCCAATTAAGAATATACACATCAAGCTTACAAAAGAATACTTGAATAAAACATTTGAGTGGATAAATTAAATGCAAAGTACATGAAGAAGGTGGCATTTTCGAAGAAAAATGGGAGTTACAATATTTCTGCATTTCTCAAAATTCTAAAGCACATTGTTTTTGTTTTGTCATATTTCCATCAGTACAATGAAATAACACAATAAACTCAGCAGTCAATATGACAAATTCAAAGACCAACTTCGAACAGAAAATTTCCATGTGTTTGTATATTAATATAATTATACAACGACTTAGTTTACTAAAAATCAATATCACCAATAATTCAAGCAATTCAATGTGGCGCAAAATTTCTTGTCAAAAAAATCTGTCATTTGTTTGTTTACTGATCTATACGCTTTCTTGCATTACTGGAATTAATTAAACATTCTCGCAGATCCATATTAACCCATGATCATGTGACCTCGTTAGTTACTATAAGAGTTGGTACTATAAAATCATTTTAGCCTGG